TTGAAGACTTGTGGACTTCAACTCCCAGAATTCCTCAGCCGGCAACCTTGGCCACTTGAAGACTTCAACTCCCAGAATTCCTCAGCTGGCAACCTTGGCCACTTGAAGACTTCAACTCCCAGAATTCCTCAGCCAGCAACCTTGGCCACTTGAAGACTTGTGGACTTCAACTCCCAGAATTCCTCAGCCGGCAACCTTGGCCACTTGAAGACTTGTGGACTTCAACTCCCAGAATTCCTCAGCCGGCAACCTTGGCCACTTGAAGACTTGTGGACTTCAACTCCCAGAATTCCTCAGCCAGCAAGCTGGCTGAGGAATTCTGGGAGTTGAAGTCCACAAGTCTTCAAGCGGCCAAGGTTGGAGACCCCTGCTTTAAGAAATACCCTAAATAAATCAATATCCCTGCAGTGGGAAGCCTCCCCAAGCGGCGCCTTCGCACCTTTCTGGGGGGGAAACCGATCCGTGGCGGCGAGGAATCAAGGCAATAGGGATGCAACGAGCGGGAGCTGCTCTCTAATTGGGCCCTTCCCACGAAGCCGCGTCCTGCCTCCCTCCCAACCCCAATCCCTGCCGCTGCCGCCGCCGCCTCCCCATCCACTGCTTTCCGCCTAGACTCGGGCTCCGCTCCAGCTACCACCCTCAAACGCCTGGGAAACGCTCCTCTAATGCAGCCGCCGCCGCCGCCCCTTCCCTCGCTTCTCCCATTCAGGCGGCTGCGCTGCCACCCCGCCCAAGCCTCCTCGCCGCCGTCGCCGGGCCCCGCGGGCAGCGATTGGCGAAGCCGCTTGACAACCACGCAGCCGGCCCGACGCCTCTCGGCTCTTTAGGGAAGCCGAGGCAAAAGGAAAAGCCGCCGGCACGGGCCCGCAAGCCTCTTCTTCTTCGTCCTCCTCCTCCTCCTCATCCCTTGGGAAGCCCCCGCCGCCATTTTGTGCGCCTCCCTCCCTCAGCCCGGTTTTTTCCCCTCAGAATCCCCTCAGAATCGGCGGCCTCGGGAAAACGGCCCGCCTTGTAGGTGAGTCTCTCGGGTTCGATGATTCCGTTCGCGGGGATGGTTTTGCCGGGCTTCGCTGAGGTAAAAGAAGCCGCGCGGGAGGAGTTGAGGGGGACGCGGGAGGCCTCTGAGGGGATCGGGCTGGTGGGGAGACCTTGACTGGCGCCGGTGGAGGAGAAGAAAGGCGGCCTCGGTCGGGCCGAAAGCGGCGGAAGGACGGGGCTCTTTAACCCTCTCCCTCCCTCCCTCTCTCCCCTCTCGCCGGTGACCTTGCCTGCCTTCCCGCGTCGTCCCCGGCCGCCCTGCCTTCCAGAACGGGGGTTGCGTGTGTTTGTGTCCGTCTGTGCGACCGACGTTGGTTGCGCATCTAAGCCCGGATTCCTCTCACCTCCTGCGCCTCTTTTACATCCTTTTGTTATTGCAGCATCCACAAAGAAGCACAAAAATAAAGCCTCCCTGGGTTTTTAACAGCACCTGTTTGGCTCTTCCCTCCGGTTAGGTTGCTACTTGGGTGATGGTCTTGCAGCCCTGGATAGGATGCTTTCTTTTTTTTTAAAGCATAATGCATATAAATGCATATAAATATATAAAGTTCAAGGATTGAAGGTTTGCCTTGTCACTGAAAAAGGGGAGAGAAAGATGCGGTGTTTTTCCCCCCCCCTCTGAGCTCTACCTCGTTCTCTCTTTTTTTATTATTATTATTAAAAAAGATTTTATTTTAATTTATTTATTTTACAACTCCTCCTTCTTTACATACTGTAGAAAGTGTATCAGCTGGTTTTGTGCATCTCTTCCACCGTCATCAGATATAATTCATATTAATTCAAATATCTTAACTCAAATATTTACTATGTGAACATCATCATACCTCCACTTTTATTTGTTATTTAAACATCCTTCATCCTTAAATATACCAAGATTTAATACATAACCACATGCTGGCATTTCATTTACTTATTTTGTAAAACCCTCCCATTAACATTAAATGCTCATATCCTGTTTTAGCTAAACATCCATAATATTTAATACCAAAATTTTCTAATCCTCCACGTATATAATTTTTTTTCCCTCTGAGCTCTCCTGGTTCTCAGGTTTTCAATCTTGGCTTTTTCTAAGAAAGCAATCTACGGCTGTTATTGTCCACTTTGTTTCTTGGGAGTATTAAGTATTACGTGCCTGCAGTTTTATAGCAAAGAGTGGCAATTGTTCCGGATCTATAGTATTTTGTAGCAGGAGTTCAAGATCACTTAAAGAGATTCAGGCAGTCGGATTTCATCACATACTTTCAACAATCCTTTGTCTGCATGATAGGGCTGCAGTAAAAGAAAAATAGAGATGCATTATTGAGAATGCACATATACTGAATTCAGGTGTGTTTATTGACATATTTGCATAGGAATAAAAATCAGGCTTATGGTTATATGAAAGTTTTGAACTCGACAGCCTATGAACAGATAGTTGGAAATGTTGTAGTGGGTTACGATAACTCATTGGAATACCTTGTTCTTTGTTCATTCAAACAGATTGAAAATGTGAAGAATGCTATGAATATAAAATTGTGCCACAACCCTTATGGAATATAATGGGGCCACTGGTATATTTAGAATTATAGAGAACTAAATGTTAGTGGTTATCCATATGAATCTGTTTACTTTGGCATTACAGTACACACACACACAAACTAAATACATATAAACAAAAGATGATGTGCTTGTAATTTATTTTTTCCCTTCTATGTCTACTAATTGTTGCAGATGAATAATATATCACCTTACTGGTTCCTGTCCTGTCCATCTGTTGTAGTTTAAATATTCAGGAGCCTCCAACCCTTTTGGGGCCATAGGCACAGAAAACATGTTGAGAAAATATTAAAAGCTTCAGAATGCAGTTGCAGGAATTGCTATCATAGTAGACAGGCCCAATCATGAAACACTTCAGTCACCCAAAAAACCTATCGCTTTATCTTGTTTGAGATTACTTCCAGTAGTCTCAGTCGCCCCCACCCCAGCACATAACAGTAAAGATGGATCCATGCCACTGTGTTGCTCTTTATATTCTTTCAGGAGCATCTTTCCCATGTATACTATAATACATAGCTTTTACTTCTCCCATGCCCTCTGCAATCTAAATCACTCTTGGTCTCTATGTTTCTTTCATTCCCTTGCCATATGCCCCTACTCCTATGCCTTCATCCTAACTCAGCCTTCCTGTTTCCTTTCACATTCTGCTGGATTTTGCTGAGCATGGCCCTTTACTCCATGTGTCATTATTATCCTGTTATGCTTAATAATTGCTTGCTACACTAAATAACTTGCAACCTACTGCCAGTTTGGCTACTCATGTCCCCAAGCCACCTATGAAGTTGTTTCATCTTATCTACCATTTCCTTCCCTTTGTTGAACCTACTGTACAGAAGTAGTTCATAGTAAACCACTGGTCTTAAAGTTTCTGTCTTTAAGAATTCCCAAGGTTGTCTCTGGGGCAGTAAAGTATTTTTTTTCAACTATCACTCTGTAGGGAACGGTCTTTTTCCCGGGAGAACTGGCACCAGAAGACCCTCCCCTTCCCCTGCCATCTACAGTTTGGCAAAATAAATGGGAGATATACATGTTCGGCATAGTGAAAAAGTATCACTGCCAAAGGCAAATTGCTGAAAAAATTTAAGCACCCAGAGAACAGAGAGGAGTATGCGCCTGCAGTGGATCAGATAGCTGATAAGATCAGAGTAGGCTCATGCCCCTAACTATGCCTTTTATGACATGTCATTTAAAGATTACACCACTACCCCGTTTGAAAACTGAAGCAAAAAGAATGAGTTCAGATTGATTGTTGGGTAGGTCAATGGTGAGTTAAATATGGTTCCTGAGGCATTTCCAGTCTGTGATTAGCAGGACATGTGCAGGAGTGTGTAAAAGCAAAATACTATTTTATTTCATGGAGGAAAATATACGTTAGATGTTTTCCATGTCCAGTGCTGGTAAAGGAATTGGAACAAATTCTAGAAGTAATAACATATGTCCTTTCTTTCATTATTCTTTCTGTTCCAACAGAATGATGGAAAGAAATGATATGAAAGGATGAAGCCTGTTTGTCTCGGAATGGTAACTCAGAAAACTAAACAGAATTGGACCACATTTGATGTTTGAGAAGAAGCTAAAGAAAATGTGTTGAATCTTGCTTTTTCTACAGAATAGGTTGTTGCTTTGAATTCAAAATATTACATGTATTGCTATTGTTGCCCTTACCTTTGTTTTGCTTTAAACATCAACAGTTGCATAGCAAAACCAAGTTTATTTTTATTAGTAGCATTTTTGGTCCTGCTCTTTAGTTAAAAAAAAAAGACTTTGAGTGTTTCTTTTAAAATCAAAGATAAGATAAACACAACATTGGGACAACATTATAAAAGGCAGAAGGCAAAAGAGATGAATACACAAAACAAAAGGGGGAAACAAATCATTTTAAATCATCTTGGCAAGCAATAAAGCTGAAAAAAGCAACATCATTTGTTCAAGGATTTGTAGAAGTTATACACTTGATCATAGATTGACTGCAAGATCCTAGCAATTAAAGCAAGGGTCCTCAAACTCCAACCCATGGGCCACATACAGCCCGCCGAAGCCATTAATCCGGCCCATGCAGGACCACAAGGCTGCCCCACCACATCTCCCCGCCTACCCACTGGCCCTCACCCTTCAGGTCAGCGCAGGACTTACCTTTGCGAGCCCTGCAGGCTGGAACTAGAGAGTAAGGCCAACAATTTTGGCCTGCAGAGAGATTCTGAAGGTGGGGAAGGTGAAAAATGGAGCATTTTACCTTGTTTTTGGCCAAAAGGGGGCTCTTTTAGGCCTGCAGAATGCCTCTGGAGGCGGGTGTTTGTGAGAAAAAACAGGGCACATATACGCCCCGGGAGGCCAGAAACCCAGGATGTTTCAGCTCATTTTTGCCCCCAAAACAGGCCATTTTAGCCCGTGCTTGGCCTGCAGAGACATTCTGGAGGCAGGGGAGGTGAAAAACGAGCTCATTTTTCACCACCTTCACCTCCTTGAGACAGAAACAAGAGACACAGAGAGAGACAGAAAGACTTGTTGATTGTAAGTTTTTTGGGGGGTTGAGAAGAATTGCTGAAAAACTGATTTTCCTGAAGTGGACTCCTAAACAACTGAAAAAATGATCTAGTAAAAAGAAAAGTGAACCAAAAGAGCAACATGCCTACAAAAGCAAATAAAAGGAGCAAAACAAATTAAAGTTTAATTTGTGTGCATGGTTTAATGGACTGTTAAATTGGCCATGCCCACCTAGTCACATGACTTAGCCAGCCCTCCCAGCCGGTCTGCCGCCCCCCCAGCAGTCTGAGGGGCTATGAATTGGCCCCCTGTTTAAAAAGTTTGAGGACCGTGGAATTAAAAGTATTATTGTCTGAACCATTGTTAGTAAGATTTCATTCCTCTGTTTAGTTCGGTGCTAGGATCTTTCAAGAGAGAAAGGAGAAATGATAACTAAATCTGATTGTGTCTGCCGCCTTTGAACTATTGGGATATGTAGAGTCAGCTGTGGGAGATATATCGGCCATGAATGCCAGTTGTCACACATTAATAAGACATAATAAAGTGAAAATGAATTTAGATTCTGGTTCTTCGGTGGCCCTATTGATATCAGTCCCACTACAAAGACCAGACCTTGAAATCAACTCCACAGTATGTCTAAAACTATTTGTATTGAGGTTGAATAGATAGAATCTTTTAAGTCTGGCTGAGCCACTTCTGAATGTTATCTAGATACTGTGGGCCTAAAACTGCTTTCGCCTTGTTGGCTTGGCAACAGAATCTGTATATCTTTTTCAGCGTCATCTTCTAGTCTAGATTAATAACAAATAGTGGTTTTTTTCATATATATTGTCCAAGGGAATTCTATTTACTTTCTGTACAAATATTTTTAAAATTAATGGAGCAATCTCCAGATTCATTAGAAGCTGCTTGGGAGGAAAGAGGAATATTGCAAACAGTTGGGGGCATCATTTTTGT